GCGAGGAGTCCACTCATCTGAAGATAACGACACTAGTCGCAAACAGAAATGAGGATAAGATGGCCTACCCAAGATAGGCCAAATGTATGAAGGATCTGCTAATCGTTGTACTCGCCGCTCTTCTTCCTCTCTTACACTGTACAAAGCGGATAAAATATCCAACTGTGACTCCAACTTTTGCAAATGCTGCGCTACGCTGAGATTCCCACCGAGATCAAGCATCTCACCCACCTAGGCGATAGTTAAAATGCAGAAATTTTGCCAACAATTATTTATATCACTAACGTATCACACACCTGTACAATTCTTCTCTTGATTTGGTTAACGAATTCTGCATTTTTCTTACAGTTTAATTCCAGCTCTTCCAAAGTCCTCTTCATAAGCAGGAACCAATCGCGCAATTTGGCTATCGATAGATATGTTGGTTTAATCAATTATCAAAGCAAACGCATACTATGCACTTTTCTTGTCTTTGTTGAGTGAGCCAAAATCTTGCGAAAACAACTGCGCCATTTCGGAGATAATGGAACATGCGGTAGCAGTGAACTTCTTAATGTTGTCCTCCTTATTCTTCAGCGTGTCTCTGTATGCCTAGATAGAGACACCATTCCTTTAATCTAGGTAAAAAGGGCTCTGGCATTCGCTGAGCCTTACCGTAAGGAAATCCATCTCAAAGCTAGAAGCACGAAGGAACAGCACAAGGGATTGCGAGTCGAATTGAGGATGAATATCAATTGCCTGCACATACGAAGCTGCTTTTTTCGAAGTGGTCTTTGCTGCAAAGAAATAGTGAAAAATTCGCATATCATCTTGTTTAAAATCGAGAACTAAACGCTGTGACTGGGTCAGTATCGATAAAGTACGATTCTCAAACAAAAGGTTCACCTAAGGTGGATTCACAGGCAAGAAAGATGACGGAAAAATAAGAGATGGATGCAAATTTAAAGTGGAGAATTTCGAAAATTAAACTTACATGTATGTAATATCAACCAGCGCAAAGAAGAGTTATACTGAGATATGAGGCGGATATTAGCTTCAAAATCGTTGGGAGATATTTTGCCCTTAAATATGAGTATTGGAAGAAACA